AGTCCAGAGCCTCATCAACTGTTTTGTTTTGTTTGCCAGGACTCCATTAACTATTTTTCCAGCAAATTGCTGAATATGATCAGTAGAAGAGTGGTTTTGTGTGTGTGTTTTGACATTAACAAGTTTAGAAACAAAAGGCATACATGAATATAAGAAATAGACAATGTAATCAAACCCCTCTACAAAATGTAAATAATTCAAATATACAACAGCAAACTACACCAAGATACTCTACACACTACAGTAGTGGTTCTCCTACTTTCTTAAGCATCACAATCTCCATGAAATTGCTCCCCGCACCCAGAGTTTCAGAATAAGTAGGTCTGTGGTGGAATCCAAGAATTTGCATTTTTAACAAGTTCCTCCATGCTTTTGATGCTGTCGGTTCAAGGACTACACTTTGAATCCACTGCATTAGAATATGGAAAGCATAATTCTAGTCTAGTAGGAGAGAAGAATGCTTATCAGCCAGAACTGTGGGATTCAGGTGTCTGTAACAGGGTTAGAACAGAGATTTCCCAGTGTTTCTGCTTGAACTTTGATCCTGGATGCTAACTGCCTCTTCACCTTTGGCTAGAGTTCAGAGTTTTCCTTCTATAGAGGAAGTGGTAGCTAGTGAGGCAGTTGAGCAGATCTGTGCAACCAGGAGTCTGTTCCTCTTATTTCTTCTGAGGGTTCTCCCCTGCCTTTGTGCTATGAGGCTGGGAGTTCTCTTGCCTTTTCAACAGCTCTTCAAAGATCTCATTTTACACATAAAAGAAGATGTATCCAGTGGAAAGCCTAGCCTTCCACATTGAAACCTCTTGGATACTTGACACCTGCATATCATTGTAAGTAAATGAAACTTGCCTCTTAAAGTCATAGGCATCACTGATATAATGGCCTGAATTTAAGGTCTTCCCCAAATGGCTGATAACACCAATCAGCCTATACACACAACTATCTTTCATTTTGGAATTTCTTTTTGGTTTCTTGGCTTCAGTTTCTGTCTTCTTATCTAAAAAGTCTTTGTTTCCAAGGTTCTTATCAGAACACAATGCACCTAGGGAATTCACATTGTTCTCCTGGAAACTTAGTTCTGTAGGTCTTCTGAGGTTCTCTGTGTACCATGGGGCATCTGGCTTGGGAGGACTTTGAAGCAGTGCCTGCTGAAGGGCTTGTTCATCGATTTTCATTCTTTCACATTCACTTACTTTGGGGGACTCTTCTGAAATTATGTTTTTCTTATCTTCATAAAATTTTTTAGTAGCCTTAGCAAAACTCTTAACATCTACAAACATATTGGTTTTCTCATATTTCTTTAGTTTTTTATTTCCAGGCACTTCTTGGCGATGAACTTTTGCAGGATATGTGTCTGGGCCACTGGTGGGTTTACCTGCACTTTCACAGATCACAGAAAGGTTAGTGTCTTCCAGATGCCACATTAAGCCAGCTGCTAATAGCTTTTATAATGGTTGTACCATATTCTGCATTTACCAAATTGGACTCTGTTATATTCAGCTTAAAATATTTTCCCAGGCCTTTTTGCTGCTGTTCTCTGCTTGACCCAAAACTCTGGTCTTTTTGTGGTCCAGACTCTTGGTGTGATCCAAAGTGTGGAGCCAGGGAATCCTTAGATTCTGAGGTCAACTTTGTTGAAGGTATCAATGAACTGAGGGTATGCAAAATGTTATCTTTTGAAAGATCTTTTTAAGACTTGGAAATTCCTAATATGCCCATTATTGCTCAAGGGAACAGGGGGTTTGGTATTGTCATTGCAATAAGAAGACAACTCTAAACAGAAACAACGACTTCCTGGACATCCTTCCTTAACGACCAAAACTTCTTAAAGCTATAGGATTTCAGATGAACAATAAGGACCCTGGGTAGCCTACTGAATTTACGCACTGCAACAGAACTCTTGTGGTTACACTTCCCACATCTGTACTCAAGCTCTTCTGCTTCAAAGACAAGATCAACAGTAGATTGAATAGACAAAGGAAGTGTTATCATTCCTTGGGGAAGGTTGATGGAGAGATGACTACTTCTGTCTTGAGAACAACCTGACCACAGACTTTACAAATAATAGAATGCAGCAACTCAAACTCAAAATTAGTGATGACAGGACAAATGAGCACTTTGGTGGCAGCACTACCAGCAAAAACCTGTTGAGGTGAATTTTCTTCCTCAGATTCAATTTTAGTCTTCCAAATTTTGTTTAGTTTTCCCATGTTCTCTTTAATCTGATCTAAACAGTGACCTAAAAACGCATGAGCATCATTCTGTATGTTGCCAGAGAACACCTATGCAGCTATTGAAATGGTTTTTTTTTAATACTCACAAGTAACTTCATCTTCATTTTTACACTATAAATATCTTTCAAAATAAGCAGGTGTGTCATGCACATGCTAAGAATATCAAGGGGAATTGTACCCCATGAGAAATTCTGGTAGAGTAAATCATAAGCAAACGATGGAATTGAACACAGAGATTGTGAAACGGCATTCATATAACAGGTGTTTCTCAAATTGGGGAGGCCTTGCCATAGTTTCACTGGGTAAAATTCAAAGGTCATCTTCAATCTGTCCCACTCTGGGTCATCCTCACAATATACTGGTTTCAACAGAAGTGCCAAATGTGTTTTCTGAGAGAGTCTGGAGAAAAGCAATGCAATCTAGGTAAGGGTTTCCAGTAGAATTGGTCTTGAATATAGTTCCAAATTCTGATTTCATACTCTCTTCTCTTTTAACTTCAATACTTTCTTTTTCATTGGGATTGGATTTCTTGTTTCTTACAGAGTTATTCTCTTTCCAGAATTTCTCATTTCTCTCTGAACCAGATGGTAGCAACCCTTTTCTCTTCTCCCAACCCTTTTCTAATAACTCTTTGCAGGTAGGTGTTGATGGTTTTGATGTACACAAAGGCATCTTCTGAAGGTCAAGTGTTCGATTTCCTTCTCTTATATCAAAATATTTGTGACTTGACTTCTTGTGCATTTTGTGAAATAAAGTTTTGTTGATTTCTTTCTGTATTGTTGTGCTGGTAAAGACACCCCCATACCTATCAGGTCTCACAGGTGGGAGAAGATTATTTGATGGACTATATTCAGGAACGTCATCAATTCTTCAGCATTTCTGGAGGATAATATTTTAATAAACAGGAAGCTATTATTTTGGAAAGTTAAATACTCCAATATAGTTATTTGTTTACCGGCTACAAAGTCCCTCACAGACAGTGCTGTGTGAGCTGGTGTATTGTTGTGATGCAAGAGCCACAAATTGTTGGCAAAAATTTCAGGTAGTTTTCGTGTAACTTTTTCATGCAGCCTTTTCAGCACTTTCAAATAGTAAACTTTGTTAACTGCTTGTCCAATTGGTACACATTCATAATAAATAATCCCTCTGATATCAAAAAAGGTTTGCAAAATTTTTTTCACTCTTAATTTGGACTGATGGAACTTTTTTGGTTGTGGAGAATTGGCTGACTTCCATTGTGCACTTTGACGCTTTGTTTCAGGGTCGTACTGGTACACCAGTGATAACACGGCCCAAAACATCATCTTGAGTCTCCAAAAGTTCTTGGCAAACTTTGACTCTCCGTTGCTTTTGTTCCTCAGTGAGCTTCTTTGGGACCATTTTTGCACATACCTTTCTCATGCTAAGATTTTCAGTTAAGATTTTCCTAACTGTTTCTCTATTGATGTTTACTTGGTCTGCTATGCTTCTCACACTCAGCTGACGATTTTGATGCACAAGGAGAAGAATTTTTGTAACGTTTTCATCAGTTCTGCTCGTTACTGGCCGCCCTGACCTCTTTTCATCAGTGATGTGTTCTCTCCCCTCAGAAAAACGTTTAACCCATTTGTGCACTGTTGTTTTCTTCATGGCATTATCCCCATAAACTTGGACTAACATGTCCCTGATTTCACTTCTACTCTTACCCAATTTAACAAGAAATTTAATGTTTGCTCGTTGTTCTAATTCAAGCTCCAACATTCTCGCACCGGCACACAAAAACACACAACGACAATAATGAACGCCACTCAGCAAGACACCGCCATTGTCATGTACTGAATTATTGACAATCTTGAAGATGCAAATTGTTTTGTAAGTTCACCTTTGGAGACAACACTAAAGAAATGGTTCTTTGGTTCTCTATACAGAATGATCCTGTTTCTAGTGTTGGCTTTATTCTAGAGCTTCTTCAGGTTATGAATATCCAGTTCTTTAGTGATAAAACCAGTACCCTTCAAGAGCTGTCCATGGTTGCATGAGGGTAGAGTCTTGATTCTCAAGGCAAGGCCACTACTGAAAAAAATCAAGAAAAGTTACATAAGCTATCAGAGAAATGCTTGGGTAGAACTCAAACTCTATTCCCATATACTAAATCTTATTTCCACTGTAATACTAAATTAATTCTGTATTAATTTCCCCACTTCAACTGAAATCATTAAACACTTGGAAGGCTTTCAATACATAGGTGAAGAGCATAATGAACAGTGTCTCAAGTATATGCATATAATATGCTAATCCTCCTGTCATAGAATGACCCCACAGGGCAACCACAATAAGTGAATAAGAAAGTGGGAGGCACTATGTTGCCCTCAACCCAGTAACAGATGGATCGCTCTTGACGTCCAGAAATCTAGAGAACTTCATACACAGGACACTAAAAGTTAATGTAACTCCTTCCAAATCCAGTTATGTTCCCTTTTTTTGTGTGTGGAACGGGGGGAATTCCACACATTCCACCCCATGTGGAGTCCTAAAGCAGGTATCAGAGAATTGGCTATCTCTTGCTCCCACAAGCCAAGATGACCTGGGTTCTAAGCAACCCCAATTTTCATAAGTGCAGGGTAATTATTAATTTATGGCCATGC